TACTACTACTACCACTACTACTTCACTATGATGTTGTGCTGCGGTTTCTGTCCCCTCCCGCTCCCCCTTCCCTTCATCTCTGCCCCCTTTTTCCGGTTCGGGCAAGCCCGGCAAGGTCCTTTATTGCCAACAAGCAGGCCCGGACAGGCAGGACGGCCCCTGTCTGGGCTGCCTGTCCGGGATCTCCAGCAAACAAGGCAGCCGACAGGCAGTTCGGACAGACAGCAGACAGCCAGCATCACAGAGTGGTTTGCCAAAAAAACAATCCGGGACAGCAGCTCGGACAGTCAGGCAGTTCGGGCCTGTCCGGGCTCCTGTCAAGCTTCTGTGGTCCATCCGGCATGGCTTGTTTTTGGGGGGAAACTAGTCAGCCCGGACCGGCTTGGCACAGCCCGAACAGCAGCCCAAATCAAGCCAAATAACAAGTGCTATGATGCCTGGACCGGACCGAGACCGGTCGTTTAATCTAGCCGGAGTGATTTGTGCAGGTTGGATGAGTTTAGGAAATCCCCGACAGGCTGTCCCGGCCTGACCAGTCCGGGCTCCGGGTGTCGGGCTGTCCGGGCCGTCAGGTCTGTCCTGGCCCAGGGCCCACAGATTGGGACTGCCGAACTGCCTGTTTGGTTCCCTGTTCCGTAGCATCTTGCCTGTCGGGAATAGACCGCATCCCATAGTCCGCGCTGTTGGGGCTTGCTGTAATCCCGAAGATGAAACCCGATAGAAAGGAAGGCAGAGCAAACCTTGACGGTGTCAAAATCGTCCCGAAGATGGAAACACTAATCTTAAAGCCAGCTTAAAGCGAGGAGGGCAGAGCAAACCCTAAGAATATGAAACTCTAAAGCGAGGAAGGCAAAGCAGACCCTAAAATCCGAACATGAAGCCCTAAAGCGAAGGCCTATCCTGTCCTGGCTTGTTGATCGTGGCTGTCCGGGCTGTCGGGGCTGTCCGACAATCGGAGCTGTCCGGGCCTGTCCGGGCGCGGCCCGAAGATGAAACCCTAAAGCGAGGAGGGCAGAGCAAACCCTAAGAAAATGTAACCCTAAAGCGACAGATAAACTCCTAAAGCGAGGAAGGCAGAGCAAACCTTGGGGGCCTGTCCGGGCTGCTACTTCTGCTTCTACTTCTACTTTTACCACTTAGACTTAAAATTCTATTATTTCCTATTACAACTACTACTTCTACTTCTGCTTCCACTTCTGCTTCTACTGCTGCTCCGGCTGCTATTGCTACTACTGCTACTGCTACTACTGCTGCTACTCCTGCTGCTACTACTGCTGCTACTACTGCTACATGTACTACTCGTTCCTACCAATCCCGCATGCAAGGCGGCCACCTACTGATCTTGGCTTTGCCAAGACGCGGGCAGCTGCTGTCGATCTATTCTTTCGCAACCTCTTGGCTAGTTGCCCTAAGGAATTCGGCTAAGGTGGCCAAAGATCCGCCACCGCACCTTTTGCCCTTCTTGCCGACCAGATTTCCAGAGGAAATCCTAGCCGTCCGGAGGGCGCGCAATTGCTCTGACAGCCGACCTTCGCATCCTTGCCGAAGTCGCTGAGGAAACATATCGCGACCTTTAGGGGAAGATATCTTCTCGCTGCTTGGACTTGGCTGCATTTGTTGGTTGGGTGAAAAGCTTTGGTGTTCCTGTAGCCTATTGTAGCCTGCAGCCTGATTACGTTTCCAGAGGGTGTTCGAATCTCGCCTGTACACAAGCCAGACATGGCTTAGCCACTGACTTTCGACACCGTGGTGTGTATTTGCTTGTAGCCCATTGTGGGCTTGGTTGCATGCGAAATGCCCATGCCTCGCAGACAAAGTGAGATGTTGAACATATCCTTTTTGCTTTTGAAGTTCGTGGCGAAGGCTGCACCGCTGGGCCGCAAAGTTCTAGGATTCGGTTCCAGCTGACACGTTAGTGACTTGGACCGTGGACTAAGCCTGACACTCGTACCCTGGTCGTGGCCAGGAGAGCAGTTACTCCACCCTCAAGGGTGTCGCATGGTGGCGCTTGAGCATTTCTACCATGCCGGTCGGCCTCTGTGCCATCTAGCTGCCATGGGCCACTGTGTCAGCATTGCCACTTTCTTCAGCGTCTCGCCTGCAATGAGTTACCACACAGAACTTGACATGCGTAACATGGAGTTGGTTCCAGGCCTGTTTCTGAAAGATGTTGATGGAACAGAGGCTGTGGTTTTGGAGCAGGCGGCCTGGCCGGCGGCCAAGTCTTGTCTGTTCTGCGACAACGTCATTAGTCGCCAGAATAGTGCCGGACATTAGGGAGTCATCCAAACGCCTGTCCAACTCACAGTAGATAACAGGAGACAATTGTGTGCAGCAACGTTTCACCATACACCCATCACGCAATACAAAGAGGTATAAAGACACATGTCACAAGCAGATTCGTGGATACAAACAAACAAACAAAAACACAAACACACACACACACAGAGACCGATGTTGGCTCAAGGTCGTGAGTGGCTCAAGAGACCGAGGAGGTTCCGGCCTTTCTCTTTCGCTCTCCTCTGCCTTGCTTGCCAATTCGGTCTCAAACACGGTGGCTTGCCTTGTGCTCCAATCCCCGGCTTCCGCCGCGATTGCTGTTCACCGACCGGGGCTAGATTGCGCTGATCGCCTCGAAGGTCCGGGACCGGGAGATCTTAAAGACTGGTCCACGACAATATCCCTCGACGAGCCCGCCGAGGGGGGGCAGAGACGAAAAAAGGTTCCTACACTGGGCGGGCGACGCCATCAACTCAGTGATCGAGCACTACGTACTACTTGCAGCCCAACGAGATCGCAAGCCATGCCCTTGAATGGAGGTGGAAGTGCGATCACCGACCCCAATAGCGGGGGAATGAATGTGGATCACGCAAATCAGCCTGACCCTGCAATGACGCTTGCAGCCATCCAGGAGACCTTTCTCAATGAGCTTGTAGCTGCAGTGGGGGGGATGAAGGGCGATATCTGCAGCCTGGCTGGACGAATGGACAACGTGGAAAATCAGGTAACATCCCAGCTACAGCAAACCATCAACCTCTTCGAGGATATGACCACAAATACTACAAGCAGGAGAACATACAGCAGCAGATGCAAGAAACAGACCGGGAGTTGGACGAGAGGCTCAAAAGACTTGAGCAACGAGGAGTTGGAAGCGAGGTTGACCCATCTGAGGGGAGCACAGTCGATACAGAAGGGATCTTGGGCGGGTGGGACCCTGAGAACTACGGAGCTGAGACACTGCAGGAAGCTAAACAAGTGCTCCAGAACGTCGCGATCGAGCTCGATGTCTTGGAGATCTTCGTGCCTGGAG